GTCCCATTCCACCTGCCCCAGGAGTGTTCTCTCCGTGAGGAGGGGAAGCCCAGAGCCAGGGGGGCGTCTTGCCATCTCTCTGGTGTTGAGGCAAATGGGAGAGAAACCGTGGGGAAAGCGCGAACTCGCTGGGCTTGTTTCGGTTGTGTGAAGCAGAGAGGAGGAATTTGCAGTACAGATGTTTTGGATACAAAGGAGTCCAATACTGTTTGATTACACATTGGCGATGGGTTAAACTAAAGGGTCTATTTAAATAGACATGGTTATCCCTAACATTTTATTTACATGGAATTTTATGTTTGCTATTAACCCAAGGTTTTCTGCTTTTAAAAAAAAGTTATCCCCAAAGATCAGCCTAAATAAGATGGCCTGCTTAAATATGTACACAGAGTTTATTAAATACTTACTTTTCTTATTTGTGTTAGTTTTTATACCTCTCCTTTCTTCATGTTGTTTTTTTAATCCTCACCAGAGGGTATTTTTTCCATTAATTTTTTAGGAAGAGTGGAAGGGAGGGAGAGGGTGAAGAGAGAGAGAGAGAGAGAGAGAGATTAATTGGTTACCTCCTGCTACCAGGCTGAGGATCTGGGATCAAACCTGCAACCCAGGTATGTGCCCTTGACTGGGAATCAAACCCAAGACCCTTGGTGCCCAGGGCCAACCGCTGTAAACATTTAGCAACACTGGCCAGGGCTCTTTATATTGTGTGTGTGTGTGTGTGTGTGTGTGTGTGTGTGTGTGGCCATGACTCTCTCTACCATTGCCTAAATGCTTTCTTTCCCGTTCTTAGTCTCTTACAGAGAAACAACAGTGCCTGGCACATAGCAAAGGCAACATTGTCAGCTACTGAATTTGAACCTCTCCTCGCACTTCTTTCCCTTGCGTGGTGTTCTGTAGTCCCTTTGTGTCTGCAGCCCCCACAGCACAGAGCACAGGCCTTGCATGTCATGGGTGCTGCTTGTTTGCGCTGAACATTATCAGAAGGTGGGGTGAACATGTGTAAATAAAGCATCCTGAGTGCCTTCAGTTTCATTTTGAATACGCAGGAGCCGAAGTTCTGTGACACTTCTTAGGGGCTACAAATGGGCAGCTCATCTGTTCACTTCTTAGGTCACAAAAGTTCACTCTGTACCCATTATTGGGGGGAAAACAGCGATGTGTATGCCTCCAGGAATTCATTAAGCGAGGAGAGTAATTTCAGAGAAGGACAAACAGCGGGTTACTAGTTAAACATCTCATTGTCATCTGCCCACTGCTTTCATGAAGACAGCACACGCATGTTTAAATAGCCAGCATTTTTCAAAGTGGGAAGTTCAATGTATACTTTGACATATACCGCCAAAAATAAGTGCTAAGAATTCCCCAAGGCTTCTGTGTAGCTTAGAAAAAGACCCAGGCGCTTCTGCAACTACTACCACTTTTGTGGGAGGTGTGAGATACCGAAAGGCTGAAATGCAGACGAGAAAAATGGGACTAACCCAGATGGAGCAGAACCTGCTCCTCAGAGGGTGGCAGACGCCCAGCTCTGTCAGTGTACAGGTGGGACAGGAGGGGAAGGTAGAAAGAAAGGGTGTCGTCTCAGCTTCAGAAGCTCTGAAGTTTTCGAGAACCGATGAGAACTGCCCAGTCTGATTGCCTTAAATGTATACAGCCCTCCCGTCTTCGTAACATATCAGAGCCTCCACATAATTGGGCAAGTAGTATTCCCACCTGCCAAACAGCACGAGAAGGTCCAAAAATTAAGTGATCTTCCAAAGTGGCAATGCCAAGGTGAGAAACCTGGGCTGCTGATGCCCTTGCCAGTTTCTGTGATACCACACTGCATGCTTCTTGAATAGGTTTTGATGTCATATTGCTCAGAGGCTTTGGCGATACAAGCCCAGCTCTAATTATCTCCTCCCTCCTTCAAGTAGGAGGAACTATTCACAGACGGCATGCTCTCACTGGTTTTATTCTGCAATCCTCTTTGGACTAGGCCAACCCCAAACACTCTGAGCTGTGGTTTGCTTCTTATCTAGGTAACCAAAGTAAGTTTTAAAATCTTGGCCCAAGCCATAGAAGCCAAGCTCTCTTAAGGGCCCTTAAACGGCAGTTGCACCAACCAACAAACGCTCCAGTGCCCTGTCCAGCATCCCAACGAAATGGTCCTCTGACTCACGCTTCCATTCTCCTCCTCAGCACATTCCAGGGCTGGGAGGCTCTCTAAGCAGTACCACCTACTGGAGAGCAGGAAGATGCAATCCAACTCCCTTACATGCTCACCTGCAACCGCCCTAGACATTTAAAGTGAATTTGTTCTCGTCCACCAGATAAAGCTGGCTGTAATATTTCGCAGCTGTTCATTGCATACAATGTTTGCTCCGAATTTGCACACAGAAATGTCCAGAGAAGTACTCAAAATTGTGGTTGGTTATACCCGAGCTTTAGAGAATAGAAGCACTGGAAAACTTGCTTCCAGCAAACCTAATCGACTAATCCACACACTTCCAAATCGGCTGCTGACAACCCTTGTGCCATGAACTAAAAAAGCTCAGGTTGAGTTAGAACCCATAGCTCCAACTCTTTCTGGGATCAGCAAACCGTGGCCTCCTGTCTGTTTTTGTGTGGCTCCCAAACTAGGATTGGTTTTTATATTTCTGTAATGGTCGAAAACACATCAAGCCAAAATAACTATTTGGGACCCTTGAAAATTACCTGAAATCCAAAGCTCAGTCTACAAAATAAAGTTGATTGGATACAACTGGACTTAATTGCTTGCACCTTGTCTCGGGCTGCCTTGAGATATTGCAGCCAAGTGGACGGTCGCACCAGAGACCGTGTGGTCCATAAAGCCTACCATATTGACTGAATATTCACAGACTAGGTTTGCAGACCCTTGACTTACTCCATTTCAACATACTTCCATTTTAAATGAGAATCTGATCACATAAAGCCTTAGACTTCGTTCAGCTCTTTCCACGGAGAAGAGGGGAAAATTTGTTTCCAGACTAATCACTAAAGACGAGAGGCCCAGGGCGCAATATCACGTTAGACCCAGACTCAACACGAGCGGGACCCAAACTGACTTCCGCCTCGACAGGTGGGACACGGGACCCAGAGTCAAGTCCTGCGACGCCCTGGGGCCCAGAGTCAAGTCCCCACCCACCCACGCGTGCCTTGCCGCGCACTCAGCCTCCTGGTGACCCATCTTTGGTCATTCCGCCATGTCGGCGTCACGGTCAAGGGGTTTTTATAATAGAGATAGTTTAGTTGTGCCCCGCCAGCGTGGCTCAGTGGTTGAGCATTGACCTATGAACCAGAAGGTCAGGGTTTGATTTCCTGTGAGGGCACATACCTGTGTTGTGGGTTCGATCCCCAGTGGGGCCTGTGCAGGAGGCAGATGATCAGTGATTCTGTCTCATCATTGATGTCTCTCTCTCTCCCCCTCTCCTTTCCTCTCTGAAATCAATAAAAATATACTTTAAAAAAAGATAGTTTCACACCCCCCTTTTGTGGGTATGCACTTTGCAAAGGCAGTACCTTTCTAAATAATATGTGCATCTTAGTGGTATAGTGAACAGTAAAACTTCAGGACCTGAACAAGCCTGAGAGGGTGATCCTGACTTACATTGAGCTGTGTCTATCCGCGGAGCTCTAGAAAACGGGTGACGCTCTCTTGGCAGCAAGCCCAGACTAACACTTGCCTTAACTCTTTAGAGGAGGGAACTTCCTTTCCTGCCACCGTGAGGGGGTTTGTATGCTTTTCTGATTTAGTAAGTGAAGGCATAACTGAAGGATTTATTCAGATTTAGAACATTGTCATTGTCACTTCTGCTGCCTTTGGGAATAGCACTGCTTTTCTAAAGTATATATTTAAAGGAAGCCGTAGCCTTTTTGGCTCAGTGAGTAGAGTGTCCGTCTGAGGACTGAAGGGTCTCGGGTTCAATTCCGGCCAAGGGCACAGACCTCGGTTGCAGGTTCAATCCATCCTAGGTCCTGGGTTGGGGAGCATGAAGGAGGCAACCAATCCATGTATCTCTCTCACATCAATGTTTCTCTCTCTCTCCCTCCCTCCCTCCCTCCCTTCCACTCTCTCTAAAACTCAATGGAAAAATATTCTCATTTGAGGATTAACAAAAAAGTATATATTTAAGGTAAATTGCTTGCTACTTATAAAGGCAGTGATCATTAAATAACAAGCAGATATACATATCATCACATCACTAAAGGCTGGCATTATGCCATGGGCAATTTAGTCTGAAATTTCCAAATTTAAAAATAGA